TGACCCCGTTTCTTCTGTCCGACTAAATCTGGTTTTACTCTTTTTTCCTTTGGTTTTTTTTTTTGACAGCCCCAGCGAAGCGGTGGTGCAGAAGGTGCCCCTGGGTAGCGGCAGGCACCGGGCGCAGGGTCGGGCTGGCCCGGCAGCAGGTGCTGCCCGGGAAGCCCGAGCACAGGAGTGCTCCGAGGCCAGAGGGAGGCGAGGGGACACTAGAGGTAGGTGATGAACAAGGCTCTGACCTGGCAGCTAGCTCAAAACGTGTGGAAAAAATGGCAAGCAAGCAACCAACGTGGGAAGTTTTAACGTGAAGGTAGCTGCTCTCCCCAAAGCTAACAGGTCAGCATGGACAGAACAGGTGAGAGGACAATGTATAACATAAATGTCCAAGAAGGGAGGCAAATTTAGACTAATAATAATTTTAAAGCGAGAAAAACAGATAAATCTATGATCCTCCCACTGAGAGGAGTGTGCAGACGCAACACTGGGTTTTGAGTTCTCAAAACAGAATTTCCCAGGGGTTTTCTACAGGGTAATCAGATTTAAAAGTAACTGTTCAAATCCCCAGCTGTATTTATAACCTTGCCAGCAGCCAGTGCTGGAGGCTTGGGATGCTGTTCTGCTCGCCCAGAGGGAGATTTGAAACCTCAAGTACCAAACCAGTGTCTTACGTGCTCCCTTAAGCAGACCCCAGTAAAGGGGTCCTTTACATCCTTCCAAAGAGGATGTTTCTTGAAGTAGTAACCAACGCCTGTTAAAAGGCCAAGAAGTCTTCCGATTATTCCTTGTCTTTTTGGAAGCCAGGTGCCCTAATGTGTACCTTGTGCAGTAATTCATCTGCATAGGCATGTGCAAAAATACAGAAACTTTGTGAAGAATCCCACTGACTCTTGAATCTGGAATCAATACATGAATGTATTGCTTCCAGAGCACATGCGGTTGGGTGCATGCAGCGTGACATCCAGGTTTTGCAGCCAGAATGCCTCTTTACATCAGGAGCAGAGAGAGGATGTTTTTCCCCTTGCAGTCAACATGATGTTTTGTGACAATGAAAAGGAAATGTTTCTGTCAAATGATTAAGGGGACGGGCTGGCAAGGACTTGTGAGTTGTCCTTTGGGATGAAGTTGAGGGAATGTATTTCCTGCTTTGAGACTGAATATTCTTTTGAAAATCTAGTGTGGTCACAGACTGAATTAACCTGATGGCAATACAGCACCGTACAGTGATGTGCAGCCAGTGTACAGTAGGTAAACCTGGACATTTCTGATGATGCTTTAGCCACCAAAGTTTACTGCTTATGTTCTGTCATGTGAGAGTATAGTTGTCGTGAATTTGGAGAAACAGCGCTCATCATTAATTTTAAGACCTGGCACAGAGATTCACTTTGTGCTCAGAATCCTCTTTCAAACAATTTTTGAGCAACCGAGCTTAAGCTAAGGTTTGGCATAAGCGGCTGGGGGACGGAAGCTCAGCTGCTTTTCTGTGTAAAACAAAAGCATGAAGGAATGGTGGAACTGAAACTTACTTTAGAATTTGAACATGCAATAGTGAGAAATGTTTTGCCGCTATTTGCTTTTGGTGTAGTGCGCTCCATGCAGTGAGTAGATTCAGTGGCTGTTTTGTATAAGGCACTGTTCATTTTCAGACAAGTACAACCAGGCCTTGCCCTTAACAGCTTGAAGTCTACTTAGGCAAGACAAAGTCCCCCTTCCTCCCTGCCACCCCTCCAAAGAAAAGAAATTTGAAGTGCTTGACTGTGTCACAATAAGGTAAATCGGAGCCAAAAGTACAGCTCAGATCCTCTAATTGCTTACCTAGCCCC